CCCCAAAACCCCAAAACCCCAAAACCCCTTTAGAGTCAAATGTTTTTGAATTGTCGTAATAAATGTCTCATAAACAATTCTGAGCGACTTTATACATCTCTAAGTTTATTGAAGCCTTATTTCTTCTCTGGTGTTTTTCATTAAATCTGGAAGATCAAACTTGGTATGTATGTAATTGAGAAGTGTATCTCTGTTCTCGTAAAACTTTTGAATGCCTTCTCCTTCATATTTAGCATTCTTCCCTAGATAGTTTTTGATATACTCGTCTATAAACTTCTTCAAGTCCGGCAGCATTTCGTTGTTTACTAAAACTGAGTTATGGAAATCTTACCTTCAGTCACAGTTAAACTGATTGCTTGTGGATTGATTGTGTTGACTACATTAAAGCCCTTGTTACGAAGAAAGTCTGCAAGATTATATGAATCTCCATTCTTGAGCTTAAAAGCCAAGACACTTAAAGTTTCTTCAGTGAGGATGTCGAGATGACCCGAACGTTCTTTCAAATCTGCTCTCAACTTCAATGTAGAGTCGATAATGTCATTTGCTTTCTTAGTATAGATATTTTTACCAGTTCCAAGCATTTTCACCCATGTAGCTGCAATTGCTGAGCCATAACGACTTCCAGATAAGTTAGGAGAGGTGTACATTCCTCCATTCCAGTTGTAGTGAGCATAGTATTGAGATTTTCTTAAGATTCTTGTCTTGTACAGGAGACATGAAGTTCCTGGGGACCCAAGTCCATATTTGTTCAAAGAGACTCCGATACTAGTCACTCCTTTAGTTTCAAAATTACCTTGATCCTCTTTACCAAAGTTAACACCATCAAAGCCCAATAAGAAAGAGCTATGACTACAGTCAACATGACAGCCCATTCCTTGTCTGTATCAATATTCAGCAATTGATTTGATAGAATCTAAATGAATTATCAGCTGAGATATTCTCCGGATAAATTGTTACAATTGAGTCAAAGATTTTTAGAAAATCAAGTATATTTTTCTTACCGAACACTCCAAAAGCACCATCAGGGTTGCTCAAGAAAATAGCAATAGTGTTTTCATCTACATAGTAGGCAATATCCTTTGGACCTATAATAAGGTTATCACAAAGAGCACTTAATGAACTTACTCATCTTAGCATTGTTATCTACAGGAATTCTTCTGATTTCAACATCAAGGAGTTCTCCTGCTCTATTGAGGCTTGGATCAAATGTCTGGGGTGCGATTACATTTGGAATAGTGATACCTTTGTAATCTTTACTCCAAGCTCTATATGAAAGAAGCGCGTTCCTGATGCAGTCTGCTTCTGAGCAATCCAAAACTCCGCATGTTTCTACATCTCCCTTATAAATATTAGCACACATCTTGATGACCTCTGCTTCCATCTGACAATTACCTTCAAAAAGATCGTAGTGCATAGGGTTTGACTTGAAAAAGATTCCATTGGCTCTGTTAGACAACTTTTCAACCTCTGAATGCATTTCTTTTGAGCTTTTGTATTTATTCTTGCCAAAGTTTTGAGTCCCCAAAATTAGATCGTTATCCTAAATTTTAGGTAAAATGACGTAATTGGTTAAAATCCAAACAGAATAAGGTCTTACTTTAGAGAGTTCATCAACAATTCTCTTAAACTCCTTATCCTGAAGAGGCTCCATTGGTAACTCAGAATAGACATTTTTGACTTTGCAAACAGTCTTGTTTCCCCAGTATTCTTCTGCTTCCTGCTTACCTTCCTCAGTAGGAGCCATGGTTACTTTTCTACTAAAGCGCGTTGAAATGACAAATCTTACAGAGTTCTTCACAAAAGGAAATCTCAGATTCTTTGGTAAGTTGGGGAGTTGATGGTATACATCAGTAATAGATATACGAAATAGCCAATAATAATTAGCATCAGGATCTCAAAATGGTTGAGATTTTCAAAAATAATATCCGTGTCATTCTGAATCTCTATATCATAGTTAACACTGGATCAACACGTAGTCAATATAGAGGACTAGAAACTATACTTACTGATCCATATAAGCTCTAATTCAGTGCATATAGCTTCTATGTGGAGGAATTCCAACATTGCTTCCATCTGACGTATCTAATTATTTATTTATTCCAAGATGGGGTTTTGGGGTTTTGGGGTTTTGGGGTTTTGGGGTTT